AATGATTGTGTGAGATTAGCTTTTCCTGAAAGCAGCCCTCGAGACTAGCATTTGGGTGTGAGACATGATTCCAAGAAATACTGGTGGGAGAATGGATAACTGAGACAGAAAAAAGAAGAGAGTCAGTTTATGGTGTGGAAACAAGCATATACATATTATAAGCAACTGAGGATTGATTATGTTGGAGACTTTTGCTGGTAACATGACTTAAAATTCTAAGAGGATTTAAGAATACTGAGGGGAATTGTAAAATTTGCTAAAATGATTGAGGATGTTTCTGTATTATTCAGGTTTCTTTTTATTCTTAACAATAGCAATTATCCAATAAATTCATTGATTTAGAAACTTCAAGAAGGTTACTTTTCTATTGAGCACAGGCCATACTTTGAAAGTTCCTATATTTTTAGGAATATATGTGTTAGTGAAGGGGAGTTGCATGAATCCATTTGTTATTTTGTCCTCAAATAATTAGTCTGTTTTAGAAAAGAACAGTGGCAAAAACTGTTATTTTGGGGTTCTGATCATTTGACTTTTTAGAGCACTTTGACTCTCTTATACATGCTGTCCTAAACTTTTATTCAAAAATTGCCAAGTGAAAACTGCTTTTTCATTTGCAATAAAATTATGAATGACCATTGTCTCTTATGTAATGTTCCACAAGAAAAGATTTTAGCATATGGTCAGAATGGAACATATTCCTTTGGTAATTAATAAATTGACTCCTTTCTATTATCTTGCTTTATTTAGAGTCCTGACTTTCAGAATGCTCACAATTAAATGTTATTCTTCAATTACAGAAACAATGTTAATCCTAGGGGTTGTAAGGTTGTTTCTTCCTTTCCTTTCTATTACTTCAATCATTTTAAAGACAGCTTAGAGTACTATAAATAGTTTAACACTCTGATATTCCCATGTTTAGGTGGAGCCTTCTGGAACTAAAGCTAGAGGAAAAAGTTTCAAAGCCAAATACTTTTCTGTGTAGCAGAAAAAATGAAAGTCCTACAAGCGAGCTCTTCCCAGTCTTCTGTATCTAAGAGTACTGTGATAATGAGTCTTCGGCAATAGTCCATTCAGCTGAAGACTAAAGATTAAAGACAGAGATAGTAACCACAAAAAAGCAGAAGCCAGCAGAGGATGAATACCCTTTGCAGACTTACTCTTTGTCACTCACAGAAAATTTGCCTCATGACTTGACAACCTACATTTTTTTCTTTCAAGGAGGACATAGTTAGGGGGGAAATAATTAGCAATATTTTCTTACAGCAATTTCAAGGGAAATTTTTTTTCTGATTTTTGGTGGCTATCATGTTGGTTAAATGAGTTGTATACCTTTTTTTACAAGCCATTATGCCAAGATTACTCAGAGCCCAGACAAAGACCCAAGAGAAGCCTTCTAAGCCACACACAAAGCAACATGTGAAGTCAAGATCAAGGCCAGGATTAGGGATTTCCAACTGAGAGACAAAAACCAGGATATAAGACAATGAAAACACTGCATACCTTAAACTGGTCAGGAACACTGGCTGCTTGAGCGAGGTGGTCCAGACAAAGAGAGAAACATAGAAGGCCGGAACCTAAAGCTCTCCTAGTGCCCTTAGTTACAGTTAGCTTCCTGTAAGAGTTGTTTACACGTGATTCTGCCTCTCTCACTAGATTGTGAGCCCTTCCTGGCCAGGTGCCACATCTTACTTAGCCAAATAACACCCATTATGCATTTTGTCTTAAATATAGTAACTAGGTCCCCTGAGTGTGTAAGTCAATTGTCCTGAAGCAAAGGTCAGGAAAATCAGCCTTCACAGATGTAAGAGAAATACTGCCATTCAAATCACAGCTGTGTACATGACTTCAGTAAAACATGCTCACTTTTTCTAAAAGAAAGGATAAGAAAAGACTATTAAGCTGTTACTGTAATTATTTCAACAGGAAATTGATAACCCAAAAGAGCCTGTTTGTAACTGCACTAAGGAATCTGGTGTATCAAATTAAGTCATTTTTCAATGAGATCATTACTGCGAGCAAATATATGACAGTCAGCATATTATTTTTAGAAGTTTCCAATCCTTTGAAATGTTAACTTAAAAAAGAATACTGGAAGAACTTAGGCTAAATATTCACCATCTCTTCCCACCTACATGTTTAAGAGTCACAAAGACTCTGATCTGCACTATCTCTATCACACCTGTTATTTCTCTTAGATCGTAGAGCTTTCACTGCATAAGCCCAAAGTAAAAACATTACAGGTATTACAAGTAAAAACAAACATGCATCTATCACTCAAGAATTTTATCAAGTGTTTCCAAATGCTTTGAAGAATTAAACATAAAATGACAGGGAATTTGAAGAATTACATAATGAACAGTATGAGGCTAAAATACAATCAATCACTTCATATTATTGATAATTTCATCATATTCCTTGTTGAATAACAAGCTGAGGTTTTAGCTGAATGGCTGTATATATTTCCCCTTTGTGCCCACTGTAACCAGGCCTCTCCTATCTTAGAACCCCTTCCATATAAATCCTAAAAGGAACAAACCTGCACCATGCCCCCCTACGGTTGACCATATAATGGACAAAACAAACATTAGCCAAATAATCACACAAATAAGTATTTAATTGAAATCTAGCCAATTGCCAAATCTACAAAATGTTTTCAATATAGTTCTACTTTATCAGTAGCATTGGTATAGCCAAAAACCTTCTTTCTTTAAAAAAAAAAAATCCCCCTTTCTCTTACTGTGTAGCCCTTAAGGTCTCCTTGGCCTGTTTCTCTGCCATCTTTGTAATTATGCTGTACTGGCCTTTGTTTATACATTCAATGCAAGTGGTTTTCCCATGGTTGTTCTCTTTTTAATTCTCTACCTTGTATCACTTTTCTATCCTTGCTATCTTCAAAACTGCTGCTTTAAAGGCTACATATACCTCTCCGAATGACAAATTCACTGGTCAGCTTTCAAAGTATGTCCTAATTAACTTAAGCAACACTAACTTTACTAATTAATTAATTCTCCCATGCACTGCTCTTTCCCCACCTGTCTGTCTGTTCTCTCCTTTTCAGTGACA